TTAAACACTTTAAAACACCAGACACTATATATGTTGCTTGCCAGGCACCATTTCCTTTCTTCACCTCATTTGCTTATGCACCCATTTTGCCTTCAGAGATCATGTTGGGAAGTTGAATATCTAAGAGTGCCAGGTTACTAGAACAAAGTTTTCTTGTGTTTAGGAAGGCCTTGAGTAGAGGCCCAAAGTCTGCTGTCTTAAAACAACATAAGTATATGCACATTGACCTATATCTCTGTCATTATAAATAAATATATTTACATATATACATGCCGCTACCTATATCTCTATTAAATAGCTTTTTCCTCCTAATTCTTTCCTCTATTTCCTTTCACCTTCCTCCTGACCCTACTAGTGATAATTTATGATGGTAAATAATGGAAATGAAACCGTGCATGAGAATAGACTCACGTTAGTGCTTCAGAGTAATTATAATAAGGTGTAACTCCCAGAAACTTCTGGACTTCATCCATCACGGTAGCTGGGTCAGATCTCAACTGCTGTCCATCAATAATTAGCAACTGTAATGTCAAAAATAGCCACTTTAGGAAGAATAAGGCTACATTCAATATACTGAGTTGCTTCTCCTGATTTGTAATGACATTAACAAATTGGGTCAATGTGAATAAGAAGAAAATGTGAACTCCCTAGAATATATTTTAATGTTTATTGTATTTGCATCTTTCACAACAATCAGCAATTGAAGCTTGCATGAGTACCATTTTTGTTCATTACCCAATTATATCCCTTAACTTTATTGTAAATTAGAAATAAGGATGGACACTCTTTTAATTAGTATTTATCTGAAATCCTGATTTCTCATTTGTAGTATAATCAATGAGTTATTTATACAATCTATGAAATGCCATAAGCTAAACCCCAGAACCAAGAGCTTTAGAAATAGTAGGCATTAGGATGAACATCATACATCAGTTCTCCTTACAAATCAATGATGGAGACCTGAGATTCTAATTGTTTTCTAGGCTGGGATGCAGATTAGAAAGGATATGAATGTTTTCCTCAAAACCCTATAGTTTTTCCTTTTCCATTGTCCTAGCACTGTGATAGCACTTCCCAAATTGACAGTCTAGTGCATGACCTTCCTCATTCCTTATGGAGGACTCAGAGGACAGATAGCATACAGAGACTGTGTAGTCAAAAGAATATTATTAACAAAATGCCCGCTCTATTATTAGCTGAAAGTGGCTCCCTGTGACTCACATGATATTTCCTGTGTGAGGAGTCATCACTTTTGGACCAGATACTGTGTAAAATAATGTGCCTAGAATGTGTTGTCAGAACTATGTAAATGTTTCATTACATAATCAAGATTAAAATGAAAAAGTTCACATTTCTCACTTATAATTTTCTCTGGTTATAAATCACTATCTGTTAATATGACACAATCATGATATACTAGACAGGACAAATTAATTGCAGGGACTTACCTGAGAAGTAGCAAAATAAGTTAGCCATCGTTCTATGTGGACTGCATACAACCCGGGTTCCAGGCATCTCCTCTGCAAAGTTTTTAAGTCAGATGGGGCCCAGGGCCCTGTTGTAATGACGTCATAGAAATTAAACCTTAGGGCAGCTGGATCTTCATGTGATCGCTGGTGCTTCAACAAAAAAGTCCATTGTTAAGTTAATTTCCTGACAACATGTGTACTGTGTGCTTGTATGTGTTTGGTGTCTACGTGTGTGTGTCCCTTTCATTTCTCAGAAATAACACAGGTTGTCGGTTTTCTAGAATGATGCTATTTCTCATCTATCTGAGATAGGAATTGATAACCCTAGAGGGACAGAAAGTAGAATAAAGGTTTCAGGGAGTGGGTACAGTGGTGCTAGTTTTGGGGGTGGGGGGCATGGTGAAAGGCAGATGATGTCAGAAAGTCCAGGAAGGAAAAGAAGGCTTTGAAGTAGATTGTGGTAGCAATTTTACAATACTGACTGATGTGATTGAAGTATGGAATGATATGACATATGTATTAACTCCCAATTAATACTAATTTTTTTTTAAAGAATCACAAAGTAGAAGGGATGATCTAATACTCCAGGAATTGAAAGAAAGCTAGTGAATAAATGTGTATAACTATGCTAAGTAAGTTGAAATATAATGACTACCTTTGAGCAAATATTAAATAAATATGATCATAATAAAGGGGAAAATGATTGTATTGAAAAGAAAGTATTGCCACATGA